GGATCTCATAAATACCTAATCTGCATATGTCAACAGACTGGCCAAGGTGACGCCACATAATTTCAAGATGTGGATGCATGCACGATTATTGGCTCCAAGAATAATCATTATGAGCTGCAAAAACTAGCTGAGAGCCGAGCATGGGGACTTGGGCCTGTAATTCCAGCACTGTGGGAGGCTAAGGCGGGAGGATTGCCTCAGCCCAGGAGTTTGAGACCAGCCTGGGTAACACAGTGAGATGCTGTCTCTAAAAAAAGAAATTAGCTAAATTAACTGGGCATGATGGCACATGACTATAGTTGCAGCTACTTAGGAAGTTGAGGCAGGAGGATCTCCTGAGCCTGGGAAGTTGAGGCTGCAGACAGCCATGATTGCGCCACTGTACTCCAGCCGGGGTGAAACTCTGGCCTGCCTCTGGCTCCTAGATGCCACCCAGAGAGGTGCCCTGGTAGACACTGAATCCCAGATGTGGACTCTGGGGTCCAAGAAAGTGAATAGAGAGGCCTGGGTTTGTACCCTGGCCTCCAGGGTACCAGTTCAGGACTCTCTTGAGTATCCCAAGCCACTTCTCAAGCATATGTCCGGACCTCCAAACAAGAGCAAAGCACCTGTAATCCCAAAGCACTTAGCCTAGAGCTCCACTCCTTGTGGGTACTCCATTTAAGGGCTCTTGGGGTCCCAGATTCATGCCCGTATTTTAATCTGAGATAAGCAAACTCTCCATGAGGTAAACTTCCGTGAGACACCTCTAACAAACCCGGAGAAGCCAGAATTCAGGGCAAAAAGCAAGTGATCTGGATGTGCACACTAGGAGTGACTGCACCCCTACTGGCCATGTCAAAGGCCTGGATCCCAGGCTGTCCCAGGAGATCCCAGTGACTGCATGACACGTTCCTGTGGTCACACTTGGCTGACTTTCCCCACGGAGCTGAGCATCAGTGGTGCTCTGAAGCACAGTGCAGGCCACAAAAACCACCAGGGCTCTGAATGCTAGAAATCCCCAGAGGGCTCAAAGAGGGGCAGGAGGTGGCAGCCAGCTGGGAGGTGGATGAGACAAGGCTTTAAAGTGCCCTGGTCTTGCGGCTGACCCACAGGGGAAAATTGGGAGTTCCTCATATTTGTGCCTGAATATTTGTCTAATGTTGAATCAAGAACTACGCTCTCTCTTGTCTAAAATATTCCTAAGTGTCACTTGGTGCTTTGCACCAAATATTGGAAGGAATCCTTTATCATCTTGTGGGATGGTTCAAACCCTAACTACACATCAGATTTGTAGTCTTCAAACTGGTGAGTCTTCAAAACATACCCAGACCAACTGAATTAGAATGTCCAGAGGTGGCCCAGGTTCTGGTATTAAAAAACAAACTTCCCAGGAGATTCTAAAGTCTATCCAGGACTGTGAATCACTAGAACCCCCTTATTTACAGAGGAGGAAAGTGAGTGCCAGAGCCTCGGACCAATTTGCCCAGCAGCAGAGCTGGCTGGCAGCAAGGCCAGTGCTAGTACGAGGTGCGGTGAGGTGCACCTCCCAGCTCTGGGCTCCTTCCACTCCATACACTGCACTTTGGTGCCTGGAAAATGAACTCTCCCCTGCCCATATGGAGTGCTGTGGAGGGTGAGCCTCACAGGCAGAGGAAATCAACTGCCAGAGAAAGGGTAGCGGTGAGTTTGAGGAGCTGACAATTGGCCACAGGTGGAGTGCAGTGAGGAGAGCAGAGGGAGGGTGGAGAAACAGGAGGGAACAGATTATGCAAGACTCTGTGACCCAGGTTAGGAATTTTGGACTTTATCCTAACAGCCCTGCGAAGCCTTTGAGGGTTTAAGCAGCAGGATGTTAAAATTTATTCAACAGCTAGCAGATGTTTGTTTATTAGGTGCCTACTATGTGTCAGGCACTGAGGTTACAGCAGAGAACAAAAATGGCAAACTCCCTGTCCTACCAGAACTTACATCCAGTGACCTAACTGAGGAATCCTTTAGAAGCTGAAATCAATCAGATCCAACTGTGGGATCATCAAATCCTCAAGGGTTTCCTGATTTACATAAACCTCTTCTCTCCTTTGCTGCCCCAGTGCTGCAGCCACTCTGGCCTTTTGTTCCTCAAACACACTCGGTCACATGTTAAACTGCCAATCTGCCCGGGTGACCAACCTGGTTAAACCCCTCAATGGCTTTCTGGTGCTCCAGGAATAAAGTCAAAACTCCTGCCCTTCCTTTCTTCTGTGAGGCGGCTGTCTCAGGAGATCCTAGCTGGATCCCAGATAATCATGGCCCAGGCTCATTTCCTGCCACTTCCCACCTCACAGCCAAACCAAACCGCTCTCCATGCCTCAAAGTGCCATGCTCTTTCCTGGCTAAGCCCGTTGACAATGTAATTCTCCTTCTGCCTAGAACACCATCCCTTTCCCACTTAGTAAATGCCTTTTCTAGCTTGAAGTCTCAGCTGAAAGCCACCACCTCTGGCAATTTTTTCCTGACCTGTCAGATTGGGTCCACATGCAGTCTAGTTAGACAGCCCCAAAACACCCCATGCTGCACCCTGTACTTCTCTGCAATTTTAAGTCCTGACTTATTAGTGTAATTACTTGCTTAACATCAGCTTTTCCCACCAAACAAGGAGAGAGATTGTGTCTGTCTCATCCCCAGAATCTACATAGTACTCGGCACAAAGTAGACAACAAAAATTGAGAAAACAAAGCACAAGCACAGAGTATCTGACACAAAGAAGATGCTTCCTACATGTCTGCTGAAGGAATGCGAACAATCTTAGTCACCTGCCCGTTCTCTCCAGCAAGATGGTAGTAAATTGGTAGAGAGAGAAGCAATTTCTTTGTATTCCCTGTAGCAGCAAGAACAGTGGGCTGCACGTCACCATCAAATCATCGTATTCAAGGTTTCGTTCCAGGAACTTACAGAAACCAGGAGAAGAAAAAGCTGTGTCTGAGAAAATGGTTGTGGTGGAGTAAGTTGTAATAGTGAGAATCACTCCTTCCCTTTTCTTTAGTTTTAGACCTAGGTATACACCCCATAAATGACAGAGTTTATTTTCTCAGGTTTTGAGCCTCTAATGAATGGAATTTTTCCATTTTTTTTTTTGCATGTATTTTTTTGGGGGGGGCTGTCAACATGTTTGTGAGGCTCATTCATGTGATCATGAGCTGATTTTATTTAATTGCTGCTCTGTAGCTATATAATTTTTAATGCAGTCTACTGATAGCCATATGAGTTGTTTCCAGTTTGAGACAATGACAAGCACTGCTTCTGTGAATATTTCTGCATACATGTCCTAGCACACACAGGTAAGATGTATCCTCAGTTTGACTAATCAGGTCAAACTGTTTCCAAAGTGACTGTAGTGCTGTGTAGTCTGCCCAGCAGGCTACGAGCACTCATGCTGCCCCACAGCCTCACCAACACCTGATATTATCAGCTTTAATTTTTGCCACTCTGGAGGATGGGATATAGAATATGGGAGGGGGGGGGTGTGTGTATTTAACTCCCCAAAAGGAAACAGCATGAGAGAGGCCCAGTAACAGGCCAAGGAACCCTACAGCAGTAGACCAGATATTATGCTCCTCGACCCACCCAGTAAATGTTGTAAATGTTTATCTTTGGGGAGAGAAAGGGAAGGGCCCACCCAGCTTCTGTTCTTCTTTCCCTTGGTAACTTACCATCTATGAGTCAGTGAGATGGAGATATTCTAACTATTAATCCAGGGAAAGGGAGGAATCCAAGCCATCAGCTAGGGAGTTACTGCTTTTCATCAAATTTGAGACACCTGTGACATCACATTTTAGCATCTCTGAAATGTGATCAATGGCATGTCATAATTTAACTGGCAAAATATTTTTTTATGTGGAGCATAAAATAAGGTGGTGCTGTGGTTTGAACATGTCCCCCAAAAGTTCACGTGTTGGAAACTTAATTGCCAGTGTAACAGTATTAAGAGGTGGGGTTTTTAAAACGTGACTGGGTCATGAGGGTTGAACTCTCATGAATGGATTAATGCAATTCTTGCTAGAGACTATTGGCCTCCAGAACCGTGAGCTGAATAAACATGTTATTTACAATTTATCCAG